GTAAATAGTTGAAGAAAACGTGTGTTGAAGTTTGAGGAGGTAGTGCCAAGGAAAAGTGATCGACTCGCTGATATGATCGACTCGCTGTATAAAAGAAGCAATATCATTGTAAAAGTGCTCTAACCTCTTGAGTTAAATATGGCCAGCAATCCTAAAAGAAAAAGCGAGAGGTTGAGCAGACGAAGAGAAACCTTGATTAAGAAAGCATACGAGATGGCATTCTTCTGCGACGTTGACGTAGCACTAGTCTTACGTATTCGATCTTGAGTCGTGGCCACCTTCAAAGGAGCAAATCGTAAGTGTATAATTATCTATTATAGATGCCCACACTAAAAGATTGCTAGAAATCTCACTACCCGCTCCCGGTAAACTTGCGATCACAAGATATTGAAGCCAAGTATAGAAAGCCTTCAATAAAAACTTCAAAGCTTGCAGGTAGAAGAAGAACTAGTAAAGCACCTAACAGGAACGAAGAGGTGCTTAGTGTTACGGAGTTGGAGGAACTGGGAGTAGGGAAAGATCACGTGTAGCACGGCACATGCAGCCTACGCGACTCCTGTATCAAAGCTTCCGTTCCTCTGGAGCTCTCTTCTTTCCTCACTTTGTTATTCGCTCTATATAGCAGTATACACTTGACTCTCGTACTCAGCAAGTAGTAGTACTCCACACGTTTACACTTGGGGTTTTAGTAGTCACGTGGATCATCAAGCATAGCCAATCAGAATGTATATGAGGACAAAAATTTGGTGCTGATTTGAATGATCATTGGTTGACGACTGTTCACACATTTAATTATAGCATCCAGTAACAATGGTTGAACAACCGATGAAGTTGATGCAAGGGTATGCCAAGGATGACCTGCATCATTGGCCTAAGGCTCCTACTTACCACCAGTTGCCACCAGCAGCTACCACTTCCCCACCAACAGCTACCACCTACCTATCACCGCCTGCTACACCACCAATAGAGTGTCTCCTATTACCCNCCTACTTACCACCAGTTGCCACCAGCAGCTACCACTTCCCCACCAACAGCTACCACCTACCTATCACCGCCTGCTACACCACCAATAGAGTGTCTCCTATTACCCGCCGCCTCCCTTACCCAATGCCATTACCAGAGTCCTCGCAGTCCCCAGAGGATATCATTTCATATCCAAAATGAGTATTTAAAACTAGTAAATATTCGCCAATCAATAGCATTCCTTGGTAGCAGACGCGCCCGCGCAAGAGGAAGCATTAGCAAGCATTCCGGATGCACGTTCATGTCGAAAAAATATGCCCCGCCAAAGACGGGTCGGGTCGAGAGGCGCCTCCAAAGGTTAATAGCATCACCCTATCGCTATAATTAGCTATTATTTCTCTGAGGTGCCATGCTCTTCCACAGCTTATCTTCGGGCCGACTATTTCTTTTAGAAGAAATCTTTTAAAACTTAATGGCTTCTACATGCCGCTGTCGTGTTGACGAATTCTTTTAAGCTGTCTCCTCTTTCCACATATTTCTTTTAGAAGAAATCTTTTAAAACTTAATAGCTTCTACATGCCGCTGTCGTGTTGACGAATTCTTTCAAGCTATTTCCTCTTTCCAAATATTTCTTCTCATACTTTGCATCTTCTAAACACAAACTTCTTCCCAAAGAAAGCTTCTAACATATCACCGCTTTTAGCATCCTAAATTCATACTATTAGCTCTGGCTCTCTTCCTACCATAAATAATAGATCCGATCCCAAAATAGACGAGATTCGCGGCTTTCCTGGAGGTGGGTTGACGCCATCAACTTTTGGCGGGGTTGACCACCACCACGGGGGTCCAAGCTTAGGGTTGAACAATCGAGTTATAGTTATGTAAACTATAAAGCTTGGTATGGTTATCTCACAACATCCTTCTCTCTTTTTACAATCCATACTAATCAATGGTCAGGAACTTAATTTCATAATGAACTCGCCTCCAGAATCCAACGTGGAAATAGATCCTGAAAACCTAGCATTTGAGGATCAAGAGGCTAGCGGGGTAGATTCAACAGGATCGGGAAAACAGATGTTTAGTGAAGTGAATGGAGACAGGAGTGACAACCCTTCAAAGCGTCGCAAATATTAGCAACAGTGGACTCTCTTTTTTTGTCTTTTCCGGGGAATATTGGCGCTGGAACTCAGTTAAATCATAATAGACCAATGAAATCTTGTAACAGTACGAATCATTCGCGTTCATTTGAACTGCTATTGGTGCTTTAATCCTTGAACATAAACCATGTTAAAATACATTTGGACTGAACTGATTAAGATGCGTGTGTCGAAGTTCTGCGTCCCCGCGTGGTGGCGCCTGCAAGTTCCAGGTTCCGGTCCTCACACGACTATAGATAGAAAATTTTGTTGAGAACATTGATGAAGCGGACCTTGCCGCACTCTTACACCCTTGACAACGTCGCGAGAAACTCATCAATATATTCAACCGTACAACCTGTTCGCCGACCTTCTAAAGCTCCGAGACTCTGCCCACAGAGACTTTATACAACATTGTCGATCTCCTCGTGCTCTGGGATGTTAGAGATTTGTCCCGTGCAAGTAAACGACTGAGAGAAGCATGCTTGCAATTTATGTCGTCCTGTGAATCACGTGTGCTGAATTGACTCATCTCCATGTTATCTTATGATTCTTTGCAACGTGCGTTATAGGCACTTCGATTGTCGGGGTTTTTGTTGCTGCTCTATTGTCAGTTCATCCGCATGTTTGTGCTGGTGGGGTCATTCACTTACAAGATCTAGGTTAAATGCGATACCAACTTGCTGACCAGCCCCTCCTCGACTGCCTTTTTACACTCTGCTCTCCGTTGGTCAATCGTAGTCTGATCTAGAAGAGGAGCGCCTTTGATCTGCCCTGCGAGGGACGAGATATGGGCATGGAGCTTCTGGACGGTCTCGAACTCCCCACCCCAGCAACAATTGATGACAATTTCCCAAGGGCCGTCTTTAAGGATAGGGAATTCTCGTTTCTGAAGTTTTTCTACGAGAATATTATTGTGATCCTCGCCAAACCACTCATCTTCGTAAGGTTTGTATCCCTGTGCTAGACAATATAAGATCGAGCCCAATGCGAATTGTTCAGTAACAGGACCAGCTAACCCATATGACCCGCTTTCTGTTTGCCTTGCAAATGGCTCAGTGCCAATCTCTAGAGGTGAACCGACCTTGACAGAGCGGCCAAAATCAATAATCTTAGCATGACCATCATTTATCACAACATTCTCAGTACGTAGGTCGCCGTGTGCTAAGCCCACCTCTTCCATCCAGGCAGAACCTCCAGATATCTCTGCTTTCCAGCGGACAAGAAGGTCCATGGGATATTCGACGACAGAAAGCACCCGGCGGGTTCTTGGGTCTCTTGTCTGGTGTTCCTGGAGCATCGATTCAAGGTTGAGGCCAGCGAATTCTAGAAATGTCGCAGATTGAACTCGGTAGTAGCTAGCGACCAAATTCGGATGACGTTTGGAGGATTCGATAATATCGAAAATGACTTGTTCCGCAGTATGCTCATCGTCATCATCCTTAGAACGGGGCACTTTTACTACGATAAAATGGTTCAAGCTGTAGATGGCGCTAGAACCCCCGTACTCAAACAGGCTCATGGTGTAAGGCGCGATGTTTTGGATTCAGAGGGTAAAAAGGAAGGCAGCGGGGGGGAAAAAGTCTACGGGGATGCAAAGGTATAAGTAATCGAGTAAGATTTTTATTAGACGGTGTTGAGATTCAAAAATAGAAGCCATGCTCGCAAAAGTAGTGGTGTTGAACCAGCTAGTCCCGAAGAGGTCTCAAACCCCACCCCTGCCCACGCCCGACTCGACCGCTAGTCCGTTGTGCCATTAAGCTTTAACCCATTTGCCGTTTTGCTGGACCCACTTCCCATCCGCTTTACAATCCTCGCATGGGGTCTTCCTTTTCGACGACGCCATATGCACGGTCGATGTAGCAGTCCCGCAACCACCGCAACCATCGGGAACGAGAGAGGGCGCCGCATCGATCGTATGTCCACAAAGTATCACATCGGTTATGATAGTTGCCTTGCACATATTGCTACAGGGGTCAATTAGCTTAATGAATACTGGCAGACGAACAGATTGGTCACAAGACTTATAGGCTATTCGTTGCAATATGTAATCGAAGTTGTGAGTGATGAAGTGTCAAGGTGGAGAGGTGGTGAATGATGGGTTGTGTATTTTGAGCTTTAGTACAGCTACTTCAACTTTTCTCTGGGCAAGGCGAATGAATTTATACTCACTTACTGGAATGGTTTTCGGTAGCATGTGAGCTAGTAAGCATTTTGCCAGCCCATTTTCTATCTCGCCCGCTATGAGAGGCGTTTATTTGCAGAGTGGGCATGCTGCGCAACAACGGCATCAAACTCCTGGACGGTAAAATCCTTGCTTTAATTTACAAGCATGTGTCAAGGGCGGGGTCCGACAATTGACGACCCCGGGACTCTTCTGCAACACCACAACCTCAATTCCTACTGCGCAACCCCTCTACTATCGTAACACACTCTCAGATCAATCTGCTATCAATTCCCTCGCGTTACGCGCGGAGGAAGCTCAACCTAAACCAATCTTCGACCTTGTCCGTAAGCGTTGAGTATTCAGTTCTCTGCTATCGACTGTTGAAACTGACCTTCAACGGTTACGTCCCTCATTACCAATCCTTCACGAAGCTTGCGCATCAAGGCTTTGGCACAATAGCAAAATTAGGGGTCCGCTCGCTCCTGATGGGCTAGGTTATCGCTTTAGTACCAATGGAGAGCCTACTTTCCATGTGGTAAGTCTTGCTTTTCCACCTTGCCTAATGTTTGAAATGCTTACAAAATATAATCCGACAGCCATGACCTACTCATCCTCTGTGACGCTATCTGCCGTTACGCAAGTAATGTATGTGGTTTTACGATGACACACGAAGGGATTAAACGCAACCTGTTCGAGCATTACGAGTTTCCCGTCTTCTTGCTAGAAGCTCATAACAAGCAGGCGCAGTCACTCGTCGACCGATTCAAACGTGCGATTTCTATCTGCGAAGCTACCTCAGGTTGGGATCCATTGGGAGCCAAGGAAATCGATCCAGGAACAGGCGACTCAGGCGACTAGATCACGTGATTTTCCTGACCAGAAGAAATCCCTGGATCGCTTAGTGTCACGAATCACGTGTTAGCACGTGGTTAGCGAAGACCAGGCGGCGTCCTGACAGGTCAAGCACTACCAGAATACTTATAGCAGATAGGGATGCTTAGATTAGCTAAGCGATCCAGGGATTTCATAGCAATTATATCACGTGACCAGTAATGGTCGTTTGGTCGCGAGCGACCAGCAGCGATCATGAGGATGAAGGTTCTATATAAGACTGGCACGTCTGCCATTAGATAGGAGCTTCGTGCTCAACTTAGTTATCAACCTAGTTATCAATCTTATCATATTAGTTTGACATCTTTGATACAAGTAACGAGTTCACTTCCAAGTGAACAACCCGATAGTCTTCTTCTTATCATAGCATACCAACCAGCGAACACCCAGCCAAGTTTAGTTAGCCAGTTTGAGTATTCGTTACACTACTCTCCTCTAATAAGAAGATAAATAATATATAACGTAGAATAAAATAAGTATAAGAAGAAAAGCTAGCTAAGATAGAAGTAGGGAGTCTTTATAAAATAACCCTGACTAAGTAGAAGCTGCTAGAATACTAGGTATTAATATAGGTAACTAAGATAGGGGGTTGGGTAGTAGAGATAGACATGTAGGAGTCTCGGCTAAGACCGAGATTTTGTAATACTCTCCTTCCCCCTCCTCTTCTCTTATAATACATACCTCCTTATAACACTACCTTACTCCCTACTAAATTCCACTAGATTCTACTAAAGCCTACTATCCACCATCCGCAACACCTCCTTACTCCTCCTCACTCCTCCTCACTCCCCTCCACTACCTCCTTACTCCCCCCTAAATTACTCCCACCTATTCTCCCATCTATTCTCCTATCTATACCCCCTCAAATCCCCCAATTCCCCAAATCCTCAAACGCCCCCCCACCACCCTACCACCCCCCTAACCTCCAAGAAACCACGAACGTCCTCCCATCCATCCCCCCTCAAATTCTCCCATAACACCTTACCCCCATCCCCTATCTCCCATTTCCTTCCAAGAACCCCATTTCCCAAATCCCATCATTTTAAAAGTTCAAGAACGAGATTCCCTTCTGATATAACATAACACAACATAACATAGTATAACACAACATAATAATCCCCTAAATCCCCCCTTCCCCCCACCTCCCAAAAAACCCTACCCCCTACGAATCTCTGAATAAATCTTTTACTTTCTAAATATAGTATTAGAAGATGTAATTGATGGCTATGAATATATATAGCTTGAATATTGATCTCTTAATCTCTTGATCGGGTAATACCTTGGTATCTAGGTAGGTATACACAGGACCTTATAATACCTCGTAGTAACCACGGCATTAGTGCCTTGAAACTTGATTCTATAAAATCCGCATTTGTTACTATACTTACCATCCATCTCACTTACCATCTTCCCACCTTCCATACCTCCTCCTCCTAACTCACAATTCACATATACACACTCACTCACCCAACTCACAAACCTCACACAACCCCTCCCATCAATCTCAATCTCATCCCATATATCCCATATATCCCATCCCATATATCCCATATATCCCATCCCATATATCCCATATATCCCATCCCATATATCTCATACATTCCATTTCATTTTCACACCTAGCCTCCCTCACCTACTCTCCCTTCCACAAAAGGGTATCTATCAATCATTATACAATCAATCCCATTTCTTTCCTCGACTAACTGTGTGTACTCGCTTCTCTTTTCTTTTCTTTCCTTTCCTTTTCCCCATTTATCTCCATTTATCTCCATTTCCATCCCAATCGCCTTGCCTATCCGCATTCCAGAATCTCATATCTATCTGCCACGATACTGTACCAATAACACCATAGTCCATAGTCCACAGTTGAGTGTTTATCCCTTTCTTTCCTTCCCTTTGCTTTGTTTTCCAAAACAAACCAGACAACCCCCCCGCTCCCCGGACCGCCACCCAGTTCAATTCCTACCCTATTTCCCCAAATCCATGCGTATTTAAAGAAAGAAGAAGAAGAAGACCGCCCACTCATCAAGAACACAGAAAACAGAGAGTAGTGTACGTAGACAATAAGAAGAAGAAGAAAAAACGCTCACACAAACTCGTGCATCATTATCATTCATCAATCAGACTCTCTCTCTCTCTCTCTCTCTTAAAAAAAAACAAGAAGAAGAAAGAAAGAAGAAGAACGCATTAAAACCCCCTCACCCCCTCATATAAAAGCCCCCTTGGA